GCGCCGCGAGACTGGCTCACGGTCGCGTCTGCCCGCACATGATCCACAGGGGTGTCATTGTGCGCGGGGTTGCTGCCTGGGGCATCCCCCAGCACCTGTGCCTCGTCATAGAGGCCTGGGCATTGAAGAGCACGTGTCCCCAGCATTGATGCTGCGCCAGCGCATCGCCACAGGGCTGACATGGGCGCATACTGCGCTGTAGCTTCATGTCTCGCCTGGGCAGACTAGGGAACTTGTCTGCCCAGTGCGTCTGTAAGGCACCCAGCCATTGGACGTTGCGCGCGCCCGCCGCTGCATATCTAAGCCCCCGATGCCTTGCAACTGTACCTTCATGGGTGTACATGTGTCGCTGTAGACGCTCGCGTTGCTATCGTTGGCACCCCGCCACTAGGTGATGTCGTGGATCCGCAGGGCAGGTGCGGTAGAGGTCGAACTGCCGGCCCAGATCATCTCGTGCGAGATGTGGTGCCACGAGGCCATCCAAGCCTTCGCAATGGTAGTACCGTGGCAGCTAACGGGCCACGTGCCTATGCAAAACAGGCGTCGTCGTCGAACTTTGCGTCAAACACCTCCCATGCCCGCCTCGGCCGGCTAGGACTGACGTGGCATCCCAGATCTCTTCAGTATACCGAACAACCAGGTCCAAGGTAGCACCATAAGCGGGGTCGCACTCTGGACTCCTGTGTGATATGAGACACGCCGTGACCCCAGCGCCTGAGGTTCCAGGCGCGCCGTTGAGCACCGCAGCTGCATGTCGTAGGTGTCGAAGCGTGGCGTCGGTGACCCCCAACACCCCAGCACCATGGGCGACTGAAGGCATTGCCCCCGCGCGCCAAAGTCCAGCGGCTTTGCGGCCGACCACTGCACGCAACATTATGTAGCGGTGAGCTCGAGAGCGAAGATTCTTGAGCCTCGTCTTCTCGATCCTCCGTTGCACCCGTGGCCCATGATGCTCGTGGCCCAAATTCCGCATATGGCGCGCATTGGGCAGCTCGAGTATTCCCCGCCCTCGAAGTTGATCAAGAAGGCGGCGAGCACGAGCAAAGCCAACTACCACTGCCGACTTCTGCAGTTGCAGCAAGATGCCTAACTGCGCAGCATCCTTTGCGAATGTGCTCGCAACCCCGGCCAACTGCGTAAGATCATGCCAACTCGCCGAAACCAACTGCAGCCCAACATCGCCCACCAGGGTCCGTGGCATGACAATCGGGACCAACTCTCGCGAATGCCGTACCGCACGGTACGTGAGTAAGTAGAGCAAGTAGGTGGCATGAGCACACCCTGCAATAATGCTCTGGTCTATCACCAGCTCCTGCCACCAGCTCCCAAATGCACGGATGCGCCTCGGCTTGCGCATCCAGGAGGAGCCGCATAGGATACCCAAGTGCGTGGGCTTCGCGTAGCAGGGCCCAATGGTCGACCATCTCGAAGCACTTGACCATATCAAGGAGGACCGTGGCGGTGCACTCCCCTACGAGCGCGACAATCTCTTGGTGGAGATTGTGGTCGAACGCGCTGTCGGAGGTGTGTCTTCCTCTTGTGTCCCACATCTCCTCGCAGTTGTGGCGCTGCTGCCGATCTGCAGACAGCAGTCGCCTGACTTCCGCCCATACACGCACCATGGTGTAACCAAGGCCGATAAGTCGGTGCCCTCCATCTGGCTTGGGTAGGCGTACCAGCTCAGTGTACTTAGGCTCCAACGGCCACGTACGCTGTCGTTCGAACAACATGAACATCCTCCCCAACGCCTGCAGGGCTTGGTCCGATAGACACTCCATAGCTCTGGGCGGGATCCGCGATGGGCCAGATACAGTTTTTAGCGGAAAACTTCGAAGGGCTGTTCGAAGCATGTCCACACTGGTAATGGGCAACTGGGCCCACTTATCAGCACCAGCAGGCAGTTGCACCGCTGAGTTCCCATGTGTGTTCCATATGGTCTGCCAGTGCGATAGCGTCTGCTCTGCCATAACATGTGGCTGTGCTTCACCATCAGAAGGCAAGATCTCTTGCTGGGCCCGCGCCTTGGGCGAGGCGTGTGCCTGGCGCGCACCCCCCAAGAATGCATCCTGGGCCCATCGTCGCCAGGCTTTCTCCACCATGGAGTTGGCCTTACGCGTGAGTTCATCAGCCCGCCCTTCAACTGCCTCCATGGTGTTGTCGAAGTCGGGGTCAACCAGGATGGACATGCCGCGCTGCAAAAAAGCGAGGCGAAAGAGCGATCGAGGTAGCGTAAGGTGTCACCCGCTTTCTGGATGCGCGTACAATATGCATCAACCTCGTTGAAAGCCACGAGCGTTTTGCGGTACTGTAGCTGAGTGACGGCGGACACCGTCGCCACGACATTTAGTCGCTCGCAGTAACGTTGCAATCGGTCTCGTTCTGCTCTGAGATGCTGAGACCATCGCCTTGCCTTTGCCCAGGCACAGACGTCAGGCGTCTCGTATTGGCGACGCCGTGGGGGCTGCCACTTGAGCTGCCGCCACTTAAATTGCGGTGCGCCATGCCGGCCTCTATAGAGTCGGGCCTCAGCTCCCAGGAGGAGGACCAGGAGAAGGAGGAGGAGGAGGAGGACCAGCAGGAGGGGAATGGAAGGGGATGGGGGGAGGTGGAGCACAATGAAGGGGCATACGGGGGATTCTGCCACAGCCCGACGTCCTCGCGTCATGAAAAAATACGGTGGAGGGTCTTTGACAATGTTCGGCCTCTCGGGGTCATTGCTGGGCCCCGGGACCGTCAAAACAACGACTCGGGATGAGAAGCCGGTCCCAGGGAAGGGGTCCAGACCTCTGGGGAGCCATTTCGTTTTCTAAAAACAAGACATCGCCACCACCCTCCAAACAAGACGACAAAAGACACATACAACCACAAATGACACAACAGCAAACAGACAACCGTACACTAACAAGACGACGTCAGATGTCTGGGCACGCAGAAGTGGCCCCAGGCAAGAGTGGCCCTTGCTGCGCGGCATTGGGCTTGCGTGCGGGGGGGGTCGCAAACTCGGGCGCGCAGGCCGCTGCTATCGCACCGCGCCCAGCGATCGGGGGACCCTGCTGGGCCCGCACCGGAGAGGTCACTCCAGCGAAGGATTACTCCTGCGTGCCGTCGAGGGACGGGCGGGGGGACGCATGGGCAGGCGGAGGTCCGCCGCTAGGTACGCTGGCATCAGACCGGACGCGCCGCTCGGGGAGAGCCGGGCGTCGTTTGAGCGGACAGTGGAGCCACCCCTCGTCTCCAAAATCCTCTCCCCTCTCTCCTCTCTGGTCTCCTCCCTCCCCACACCTCCGCCCACCCTTCCTCCCTCCTCCTGGGAGTCCCAAAACCGTATGGTGACAGACCGCGTGGTGACCCCTCTTCCTCCTCGTCTCCTCCTCCTCCTCCTTCCTCCCTCCCACACTGCCCGAGTAGCCATGTTGGCTCAAGCCTATTTTGGGGTTCAGCTTGAGTCTGCCAAGGGCGATAGCGCTACTGAACTGCACCTAGCGTTTGAGAGAAGCCCTTTTCAAACAAGTACCCTCTCTCATCACGATTTCCTCCCCACTTCCACATCCATCTTCCATCCTCCCCCTAAATGTTGGCAGGCTCGTTTGCACGAGCCCCGCATCAGGTGCCTCCGACATGGAGGCAGGGGCGAGGGCCTGCCTTATCCTGGTGGCAAGGGATGGGGCCTGCTTTATTGTGGTCGTCCATCCATTGTCTGGAGGGCAGCCACTGCCAGTCGAGTTGCGGAAACAACTCTCACCGACTTGCCCGATTTAGCTCAGTGCTCCAGCACTTCCGAATCGAGTGGTTTTTATGCGAGGACCCATGTGCAGCTCATCTCTCCCCGCAGCGGATTGGCCGGGTCCTTGATGAGCCCTTCAAGTCTGTCACTTCACATGGGCAGACTACCATGACGGACACGTCCCCGTTCATGGTGCAGCGCCTTACGCGTAAACAGTGGATGGACCAGACAACAGCACTCGCAACTGGTCGTCTAATGAGCTTCCAGATGAGACCATCTAGACTGTTGTGGCGACAGAGTTGCTTGTGTGACCACAAGAGGACCCCATTTTGCTTTCTTGGTCTTCGTCTGGGCCATCTGTCTGGACTCGATTCAGACAGTGTTACATGGCGTACAGTGTTGATGCAGCTTGCGTTCTATGTGGGCTTAAGTTGGATAGTCTATGCTCCAGGCTGCGGGAATGCAAGGGCACACTGGAGTTGAGGAAGGAATGGATCTCTCAAGAGATCGACGACGCGCTCTTCACCCCGACTTCAACCAGGCCATACTGCTGGAATGACGATGTGTCCCCACGCCTTTCACCGCCCCGCCTGGGCTCGGACATGAAATGTTCCAGGCTTTGACTGGCACGGGAGCGGACACCCAGGACGTGTTCCAAAATGTCTTCGCTGATGCATATTGCTTTAAAGATGGCGGTTAGCAGAATCACAGGCAGGCTGGAATAGATTTTAACATCGACAGAAATTCAACTCGGCAGAATTTGCGTAAGGGCTGGGGCTCAATTCCCACAAACGTCCACGGCCTGAGAGCGCGTTGCATCACTTGCCGTAGCCGCTCATATCCACAAGGCTAGGACAGCTAATTCGGACTATGCATGTGTAGCAAAAACGCATGCAACATCTAGGCACTCGAATCTCAATCGATAAAACTTTCACGCAGGTGTAGACATGCGAGCCCTTGGACGTGCTCCATCAGGCTTTGGAAATTCCTACGGTAATTCGCTAGCACATGTTCCATCCGATTGGCCAAATAGATGCAGCTGCAAAACTAAGCAATCTTTTCCACGGTGGCAACAAATCGGCCGACATATAATCATGGGACCCTCAGGGTAAAGCCCAGAAACTACGCTTGTACTACGATGTTTCGTGAATTTTCCCGATGGCATTCTCCCCAAAAAAGACGCTGGCTCCACCCGATTCATTGGAGCCAAAGTTACCTCTCAGCGCGCTTTGGCCGCATGGCCCAGAATATTAATCACGTCGTCGGGGGAAGCATGAGGAGCCAGGAGCCACCAGGAAAGGAAGTGCTAGCCCCCCGCCTCATCCTCCTCCTCCGACCCCCAAGCTGTGGAGCAACAGCACGAACCGACGTGGAGGCAGGAAGGCTATCATGCCTGCCTCGAAGGGCAAATGCGAAGCACCATATCAAGAGGGATCCATCGCATATGCACATGCGCTACTGTAATGTGTCCCCGGTCCTCCTTTTCCACCTCCTCCTCCTCCTCCCTTCTATGAAAGATGTGATGGTGCTTCTCTATTTCGCCAAATTCACAATCAGATGAACCACCGCGTGCGGGTCGTGGAAAACCCCACGGGGATCCAACTTATCTGCATAATCTGCGCGCGACAACTGCTCCGACGGAGCCCGGGCCGTAAACCTGGAAGCCGGGCGTCCGGCTGCCATGGATCCCGGCCGAGCCCGCATTAATGGGAACAGAGCAGCGTCAGGCCAGTCCTCCAACGACCTTTCTTAAGCCAGCGGGCGCAAAGGTGCAAGAGCGGTACAACGCTGGTCGGGCCACGGGCGGGGCGCGCTTGGAACTACTTGAGGCACGGCGAGAAGTAAAAAGAAAATGATAGCGAAAATGCAGAAACCGCTCATAACGGCCCTCGAACTACAGAAATGGGAACGGCAAAATAATGGAAAGGCGCATCCCTTTTCTCCGCTTTGCTCCAGCTTCGCCAAAAAGTTGGCAAGCCCTGAAGGCCTTCCTTTGCCTCGGCCTCCGCCACTCCCCCCTCTTCTCTCTCGCTCTTTTTTTTCTCTCTCTCTCTCTCTCTCTCTCCCTCTGGGGCCAGGTTCGGTGGAGCTGAATCAGAACCGGCATCGCCTTGGACCCAATCAGCGTTTTGCCTACTACCAATCAGCGTATCAAGCAGTTCCTTCTTGATGTTGATGGGTTGTTATTATTGTTTCTTCTTCTTCATGTAGTTCGAAAGAAGCAGACCTCCCACGACGAACTGGTGAGCGCGTGGCTTAGTAAGTCCGTTGAGCGGAGTTTCCCATTCTAAACACTTGCCACATGCAACTTCGAATGCCATGAAATCGTCGTCGACTGATCGTTAGTCCGGAATCCAAGTTGGTCTGCGGTTTGTTGTGCGTCCGACACCCCACCAACGCGATGATAGAGCAAGCGTGCGAACAATGTGTATGATATTTCAATATTGCGACTGGCCTCCAATTCTGCGGCAAGCTGAGATCGCCTGCCTTCGGGAGCATCGAAAACAATGTCTCCCTCCAGGTCGGACCAATGGCGCCCTCATGCAACGTCTCATTGAACAAATGGAGTCGTAAAGCCATGCACCTGCGAGAAGACTTCCTGAACATCTCCGCGACGACCCCGAATTCGTTCGAATCCATTCGAAGTTTCATCGATGGGAGCGCACGTCGAAACGCCCACATCGTGAAAAGAGGTATTTTGGTTGAGCATCTGTCCAATATACACTGCAAGTACGTAGAAGCTGATCCACAAGTGTACGACCAATCAGTTTTGAAGATCCTCTCGAAGTAGTTGGCAAAATCCTCTGGTCCAGCCTGCGCGCTGGATCCAACTGTAGACGAGCATGCTGGTAGCTTCCTTGCGTCGTTGATCCAGTCAAGCTCGATGAACTCATCCAGAACAGCTTGGAATCCGTTGGCTCTTCTGTTTCCGGATCTCCCCGCGGATATGCCGTCGAATAGTCTTTGAAAGCTCCTTCCGCTGCTGGGGATCACGTGCCTGGCGCCTGCGTTGCAAGAGATGTTGAAAGTAAGGTAGGTCCCGTGGCTGGTCACTGAATCGCCGTCGCTTGCTGCAAGCCCCTCCCCATGAGCCGCCGCAATGTCGAACAGTATTGACTCCGCTTCGAAGAGAAAAACACAATCGTTTTCAAATGGACTCCAACCTTGCATCGATGATCGTCGCCTCTTGGTTTGTCAGCGCTTGCCCTTCCCGACATCAAGCTCTACGTGTGAAGCGCGATGGTCCGACCCCATATCCAAATATTGCGACATACCCCAAGTCACTTTGCGGGTGTACGTAGACGCAAAAATGAAATCGATTCTTCTCAGCTGGCCCAAACTGCTCCTGAAAGTCCAACTGTATTCATCTCGGCCGTTCCCGTCACGATTGGCAATCGACAGGTTGAATGCGGACGCCATCTCAGCCATCTTCTGGCCACGCTCTTTAACCCCCATCGTGTGTTGAAATCGCCCCCGCATGTGTCAAGGTCCGGAGTCAAGGTCCCCCTCCTCCAATATTCCTTCTTCCTCCTCCCTCTCTCCTGCCCCATCCTGCCTCCTAGCTGTTCACAGCGCTCTCGCTCGAGGCATCTCCACGACTTGCTCGAGCTGGAGGATTAGGAGGATCGAGGAAAGTACGAAGGATCGAGGAAAGTACGAGGATTAGGAGGATCGAGGATCGAGGAATCCTCTTCGCTTGGAAAGTACGAAGGAATCGAGCTCGCGCCTGGGCGCCAGCTACCCTCTGTCGGGCCATGGGCGCCAAGGCCCCCCTGCTAAAGCACACTTCGACAACAGAAGAACAGTCAAATGGCTCCTTTGGGTCTGTACCCTCCTGCCTCCTTCCTCCTCCCTCCTCCTTCATCCCTCTCGGAGCCCAGAGTTTCGAGGATGTCTCAGGCGAAATGGGCCAGACCACCTCACGCGCAGCATTTCGGAGCCCCGAATCGCGAGAATGTTCAAGGGCCAGACCACCTCGCATACATTTTCTCGGAGCCCAGAGTTACGAGGATGTCTCAGGCGGAACGCGCCGGACCACCTCTCGCGCGGCATCTCGGAGCACAGTGGTGAGGATGCCTCAGGCGAAACGAACTGGACCACCTCGCGAGCGACATCTCGAAGCTCAGAGCTGCCAGGATGGATCATGATCAGGCGGCGCCCAGATCCTCCCAGAGCACATTTCGACAATAGAAGTGCAATCAAATGGTTCGTTTGGATCTGCAACCTCCTCCCTCCTCCCCCCTCCCTCTTGGAGCCCAGAGAGTCGAGGATGTTTGCGAAAAGTCTCAGGCGAAACGCGCCAGACCACCTCGCGCGCGGCATCTCGGAGCTCAGAGTTGCGAGGATGTCTTAGACGAAACGCGCCAGACCACCTCTCGCGCGGCATCTGGGAGCTCAGATTTGTGAGGATGTCTTAAGCAAAACGCGCCGGACCACTCTTGGCGCCCCGAGTTGCGAAAATGTCTTCGGCGAAATGGTCCGCTCGCGCGCGGCATCTCAAAGCTCAGATTTGCGAGGATGTCCCACGCGAAACACGCCAGACCATCTCTCGCGCGGCATCTGGGAGCTCATACTTGTGAGGATGTCTCAAATAAAACGCGCCAGACCATCTCGCACGAGGCATCTTGGCCCCCAGAGTTGCGAAAATGTCTTAGGCGAAATGGTCCAGACCACCTCGCGCGCGGCATCTCGAAGGTCAGATTTGCGAAGATATCCCACGCGAAGCGCGCCAGCCCACCTCGTGCATGGCATGTCGGAGCTCAGATTTGTGAGGATGTCTCAGGCGAAACGGGCTGGAACCCTTCGCGCCGAACATCTCGGACTCTAGAGTTGCGAAGATGTCTCAGGCGTAACGAGCTGGACCACCTCGCGCGCGACATCTGGGAGCTCAGAGTTGCGAGGATGTTTCAGGCGGCGCCAAGACCCCTCCCAGAGAAAAATTAAGCATCAGAAATGTAATCAAATGGTTTGTTTGGGTCTGATCCCTCCTTCCTGCTCCCTCTCGGAACCCAGAATTTCGAGGACGTCTGAGGCGAAACGCGCCAGACCACCTCGCGCGTAGCATCTCGGAGCCCAGAAATGCGAGGATGTCTCAGGCGCAACGCGCCGGACCACCTCGCGCCCGACATCTCGGAACTCAGAAAAGTCAGGATGCCTCTGGAGAAACGCGCAACTCGCGCGCGGCATGCAAGGATGAATCACGCGGCGTCCATACCCTCCGAGAGCACAATTCGACAACAGCAGTGCAATCAAATGGTTCGCTTGGGTCCGACCCCGCTTCCCTCCTCCTGTCGGAGCCACAAGTTTCGAGGATGTCTCAGGCGAAATCCGCCGGACCACCTCGCGCGCGGCGTCTCGGAGCCCAGAGGTGCGAGGATAAGTATCTCAGGCGAAACGCGCCAGACCACCTCGCTGGCGGCTGCTCGGAGCCCAGAGTCGTGAGGATGTCTCAAGCGAAACGCGCCGGACCACCTCGCGGCCGACATCTCGGAGCTCAGAAAAATCAGGATGTCTCAGGAGAAACGCGCTGGACCACCTCTCGCGGGGCATGCGAGGATGGATCAGGCGGCGCCCCAACTTCTCCCAGAGCACAATAAGACAACACAAGGATAATGAAATGGCTCGTTTTGGTCTGCAACCTCCTCCCTCCTCCCTCCTCCCTCCTCCCTCTCGGAATTCAGGACTTTCGAGGATGTCTCAGGCGGAACGCGTCAGACCACCTCGCGCGTAGAATGTCGGAGCCAAGAATAGAAACCGTCTCAGGCGAAACGCGCCGGACCACCTCGCATGCGGCAGCTCGGAGCCCAGAGTTACGACCATGTCTCAGGCGAAACGCGCTGGACCACCTCGCGCGCGGCATCTCGGAGCCCAGATTTGCTCGGATGTCTCAGGCGAACCTGGCCAAGCCACCTCGCGAGCGGCATCTCGGAACCAAGAGTTGCGAGGATGTCTCAGGCAAAACGCGCCGGACCACCTCTCGCGCAGCATCTCGGAAATCAGAATTGCAAGAATGTCTCAAGCAAAAGTCGCCAGACCACCCCGCGCGCAGCTTGTCGGAGCCCAGACTTGCGAGGATGTCTCAGAAGAAACGCGCCAGACCACCTCGCGAGCGGCATCTCGGGACCCAGAGTTGCGAGGATGTCTCAGGCGAAACGCGCTGGACCACCTCGCGCGTAGCATCTCGGAGCCCAGAAATGCGAGGATGTCCCATGCGAAACGCGCCAGACCACCTCGCGCGCGGCGTCTTGGAGCGCAGAGTTGCGAGGATATCTCAGGCGCAACGCGCCGGACCACCTCGCACGCGACATCTCGGAGCTCAGAAAAGCCAGGATGTCTCTGGAGAAACGCGCAACTCGCGCGCGGCATGCAAGGATGAATCAGGCGGTGCCCATACCCTCCGAGAGCACAATTCGACAACAGCAGTGCAATCAAATGGTTCGCTTGGGTCCGACCCCTCTTCCCTCCTCCTGTCGGAGCCACAAGTTTCGAGGATGTCTCAGGCGAAATCCGCCGGACCACCTCGCGCGCGGCGTCTCGGAGCCCAGAGGTGCGAGGATATCGCGGGCGAAACGCGCCAGACCACCTCGCTGGCGGCTGCTCGGAGCCCAGAGTCGTGAGGATGTCTCAAGCGAAACGCGCCGGACCACCTTGAGCGCGGCATTCCGGAATCCAGAATTGCAATGATGTCTCGAGCTGGAAACGTCTAAGTATCGTTCATGACGATATTTTCAAAATCGCGCTCGCGAGCGCCTGACTAGAACTGTAAGAGGGCAGCGGCCCTGGGACCAGAGCCAGCGCCGCGCCACCTCGCCCAGACCAGACCGCGACCAGAACGGCCACTAGAACCACTAGGTTTGAGGCCACGTTTTCCTAAATCCTACCAAACCAATGTCTAACCAATCGGAGGATGGAGGATGTGAGGGAGGGAGGGAGAAAGGTATATGAGGAGGAGGAGGAGGAGGAGGAGGAGGAGGAGGAGGAGGAGGAGGAGGAGGAGGAGGAGGAGGAGGAGGAGGAGGAGGAGGAGGAGGGAGGAGGAGGAGGAGGAGGGAGGAGGAGGAGGAGGAGGAGGAGGAGGAGGAGGAGGAGGAGGAGGAGGAGGACCAGGGCCAACTCACAGAAGAGAGCCGTGAGGATGCCTTCAGCGAGACGGCCCAGGCCACCAGATTTTCTCGAGGACGTCCCTGGGCGCCCGCCCCTCGACCATTAACTAGCCTCTGCCACCATAGCACCCTGTCCAGCATGCTGGTTGGGGAAACATGTCATCCTCCTCGTCCACACCCTCCTCTTCCTCGTCCTCCTCCTCGCGATCCATCTTCCTCGCTGTTGTTGTCCTTATCCTGCGTGTTCTCCTCCTCCTCCTCCTCCTGCCCCCCCCCCTCTCTCCACATTCATCCTCCCCTGTCCCACCCCTGGCTTTTGCGCCAGGCGGCCCTCATGGGAGCACGCCGCGAAGGAGCCTCAGAGCCGCCCGTGGGCAATTCCGCACATAAGGGGGCTGGTCTGCAGAGGCTCCCGGCACAGGGCGCGGGGGGTGCCATCGCGTTCGAGCACGGTCGGGGGGATGAAGGATCGGGCGAGGTGCAGTTTGATGTGCAGATGGAGGAGGGAGGTGGGCGACGAAAACATCAGGGTCTCACGCGCGATGGCATGGCAATCTACGTGGTGGCGTACGCGGGCCGCCAGCGAGATGCGCCAGTGGAAACGAGGGCGCCTACGCGCGACCATACGCGGAAAGCTTACGGGCGAATGTCGGCGCAGGCGACCGCGTCTTCTTCCGTCGCTCCTGCGAAGGCGGAGGCGTAATCGTGCTACCATCGGAACTGACAGGAGAGGGCATCCGAGAGGACACGAGTCCTCTTCGGAGGCAGCCCCTGCTCCCAGCAGGAAGAGGGCATGAGACGCGACGGACAAGACACGAGGGTACCCGTGATCTCATAGGGTCGGCCTACACCTTAGGCGATGCTTAAGAAAACGTAATTTTTCGGCCAGAGTCTCGATTATTCTTAACTTGTCAATGTAAATCCGTTCTGGGTTTTTATTCCAGTTCTGAGATTCTGAATTTCTTAACCCATGGTTTCTTAAGCATTTCGCAGGGTGTACGTATCAGATCCGACTGCACCGCAATGAGCACTGAATGAAGAGCAAAGGGCCGTTTCTAAAACGATGCCGAGCCTCGGCCACGACGAGGCTCCCCGACCTGGACCTGCGGAGCGGCCCGAACACCCAAACCCCTCCTGAACCCAAAGTGGTCCTTATCCCAACATCTTTACTGCAAGGAGGATTTTTTTGATTTGCGCGCGGGTGACCGTCTGCCAATCACTCCTGCCCGAAGTCGACGACAGCGAGCGAGGGGCCCGAAAGGGACCGAAAGGGGGAACGAGGGACGGACCCAGGAACCCAGACACAGGACGAGCGAAGGGACCCGACCGAAGAAACAAGGGACACGAAACCTCGAGGGCCTCGAGCAGTGCATCATTCAAAAGGAGGTCGACGCGGGAGGACGGGGCTGGGGGATAAGGAGCGGGCGGAGTAGCAACACCAGCAGCAGCAGCCGCAGCGGGATCGATCCCTCGGCCCCTCGACCCTTCGATTGTCTGTCGAGCGATCGATCGATCGGCCCTTGGACCCTTCGATCGATCGATCCATCGATCCCTCTCTCGATCCTTTGATCCAGCGAGGACAGGGAAAAGCCGAGCAAAAGCAAATGCGCGACGGACCACTCGGTGCATCGAGCCGGTGCCGCAAGCCGCGGAAAGGGCGGCAAAGACCTTCTGAGAGGAGATTGCGCGGATCAAGTTTGACTCCATCGACGCCGCCTCCCTCCCTCTCTCGACGGAAGAGGAGGAGGAGGAGGAGGAGAAGGAGAAGGAGAAGGAGAAGGAGGAGGAGGAGGAGGAGGAGGAGGAGGAGGAGGAGGAGGAGGAGTGGGACCTAAGACGCGGCGCCTCCATCCAGGCAGCCATTGGCAAGCGGAAGAATCTCATGGGGACCACAGCTTCACCTGATTACGTTGCATACGCCCCCTCCGGCGCAACGCTCGGTCGGGTTCGCTGGGTGCAGGCAGCCCGATCAGGCCTGCAAGGCAGGAGGCTCGCGCATCGAACCTCCGCCCATCGTGGCGATCGCGAGCACAGCACCCATCGTGCGCGACCCCAGCTCTACCTCCGTCCTGTTGGTTTTTCACGTCGAGGGCGAAATCTAAGACAGTTGGACGCACCTGTACCTGCGTGCAATGTCATGCCTTCCTTCTGCACTGAGGGACCATTTTACTACGACAAGATACGCCCATACGTGCTTCAAATCCCACAGCGAGGGGAGAGGGAGGCAGAGGCAGCACGTCGAAATAATAGCCCGCCCTGGGAAAAAGAGAAAGCAACGACGGCATAAATATGTGATGATGATGGATCAGTGTGGCTCGCAACGTGGTTGTTGTCCATATCAGAAGACTGCTTCTAGTCTGACCTAGAATGGTCAATGACCAGACGAGAAGTCGTAGCCTCCTCGGCCTGATGATATCTAAGATAGGCCGCGCTGCGCCACTCACCTGCCTTGAACAAGGTTGCAAGAGATCCACCAGCATCAAGGATGTCCCTGGTCATCACTCTACGCATAGCGTGGTTTCCTGGAGCCGCGCTGTCGGGGATCCCTAGAACGGCCGCGTGGCATCTCAACGTTCGCACGAAAAAAACGCCTAGACTTCGCGAACAACGTGTTTCATCCAGCGGTATGCGCACAGGCTTCTGCCAGACGAAGCACAGCAGCAATCCCTCTTCAACGTGCTCGGTCCGCGCACGTGCTTGCGCATATTCAACGCTATGACCACCGCGCCGTCAGAACACCGAACCTCGGAATGGCGCCCCCGCTCCTGCAGCGGCAGCGCCTCTGACGGCACGCGGAGCAGGAATAGCCGAGCGCCGGCAAGCACCGCTGCCAGTTCCACATCGCCAACATGCCGTGCATAGTCCACGAGGCGATGCACGCCCTCGGCCGGCAAGCCCAGGCGCGGCTTCGGCGGCGGGGCCGCCATTCGGATACCTCGCCGCACTTGGCTCAGAACAGCGGCGCCCAAACCATTGAGAGCCCCAAGAAGCGGCGGGCCCACCGCAGGTGCTTGAGGCACGTGCAAAAAATGTCGGGACTGGCGAAGATGATCGCGACTTGCAACGCTGACTCCTCCGTCGCTGGGAAGTGCACGGCAATGTTTGCTGCGTCGCAGAAGGCAGCCCAGCGCCTGAATCCGCTGGCGCATGTGGGAATCGAAGCCCGGATGGCTTCAATATGAATCTTTGGGCTTGCTCCCCGAGCAAAGCTGGCGCGCCTGGCCGCGCCTGTCGCAGAGCCCTCGCCCTCTTGCGCGGCCCCCAAGCAGAGACTGGTCACCGAGGCCCTCCTCTTGCAACCGCGACTCAGACGTCGCTCTGCGCAACGCCTCAGCTCAGCTCAGCTCGGCCCGGGCGCCCGCCGGGGCTCAGCGCCAGAATCCTCGACATCCACTGCCCCGATTCGCCTCCAGCGGACCGCTGCGACTCCGCGGGCCCCGTCGGGCTCGGCGAGGGCCGCGCCCGCGGCCCGCCGTCGCGCGAGCTGCTGCCAAGTAGGGGGTAGTTGTTGGATGCCTGCGCGGCGAACAGACCCACGGGGGCAATGCCATATCGGCGCTGCAGAGCGTCTGTCGGCGCCCCCAGGCTGCCGCGCCTTGCCGCCGCAAGGGCGAAGGGGCGGAAAGGCCCCGCGGCTTCGTCCGCGCTGGGCAACGGCCTGGAGGCTGACCCGTGGCTGTCGACAGTTCGGGCCACGCTTGGGCGGGCGACCATCTCCGCGACCCTCTCTCCTTGGCGCGCGCGACTGCGCGGTTGCCGGCCCGTGTCGCGCGTGGAATGATTCGTTGGCCGGCGCTTGCCGGGCCGCCCCGCTCTTGCGGGCGCACCCATTAACGAAACGACGCTATGGGCGACGCGTTCGTGAGCAATGGCCATTGCCACCCAGCGCAAATCCGAACGCTCATCAAATGGCGCATGTTTGGGGGGACCTCGACGTCCACTGCCCTGAACTTCAAGCAGCGTGGCTGGCGGCACTGCAGGTGCCGCAGATGAAGACTGCCACGGGGGACCACGACGAGCAGCGCGACGGGCCCAGCCTGCGCGGCCATGCGCAACGGGGGCGCCGCACCCGCCCCCGACCCCGCCCAGCTCCGGGAAGAGGCACTCCAGGGGCGAGACCAGCGAGTCAGCGTCCGACGATCGCCGCCGCTCGCATCATCAGGGCGGCCCGCGCCTCGAGCTCTTCCGCGGACGCGCCGAAAGGAGAAAGAGAAGGGGGCCGCCGACTCGGCGGGGGCCGAAGGCCGCGCCGCCGCCGCCTGCGAGGGCCCAGGGCACCATCGCCAAGTGCGCCGCTGCCGGCCCCGCCGCCGCCGCCGCGGCCCCGGCCGGGCGCCCCCGCGCCGAGGGGCAGGCCGACTCAGCCCAGGGGTCGTCCGCGAGGACATTCGCACCGCCCCACGAGGAACCCGCGCCCATGGCGTCGCCGTCCAGGGGGGGGCCGCCGCCGCCGAGCGCCGCGGCGGCAGCAGCCGCCGCGCGCGCTTCCGCGGGCGCCTGCCCGCCGCCCGCGGCCCGCCGCGCATCCGCCAGGCGCGCGCGTCCGGCGCCGCCGACGCGCCGCCTTCGCCGCCGAGCGGGGGCCCTCAGCCGAGTCGGGGTTGGCAGTCGCAGGAGGGAGCGGCGGAAGGTTCTGCAGGGCGTTTTTTTTTTTTTTTTTTTTTTTTTTTTTTTTTTTTTTTTTTTTTTTTTTTTTTTTTATATATATATATATATATATATATAATATATATATATATATATATATATATATATTATATAAAAAAATATATGTTCATATTTTTTTTTAAAAAAAAAAATATATATTCTTTATTCTATATATATATGTTTTATTTACCTGCGCGTTGTTCTGCAGGTTTTTCGGAATCGACTTGTTTTCGTTACGTTTGGCGTTCTGCGGGGCTTCTCGGGATGGTATTGATTTCGTTATGTTTTCGCATTGTCTTTCGCATCGCTCCAGAACCGTTGATTTTTTGGATTCTACGGATTCCACATCGTTCACAACGTGGCATCGCCGATGCATCACGCAGCGCGCCCCTAGAATCACCCGCAACCAACTGAGACAAGTGGCAACTAGAAGGCGGAGGGAGGAGCAGTGAACGCGAAACGGGGGGAATGAAAGAGGGAGGGGAAGGGAGGGGCTCTGCTTTCCTTGCTCTCTCCTGCTTCTCCTTTCCCCCCCCCTACACCCCCTCCTACTGCCGCAGCTCCCCCTCCCCCTCCTGTCCCCACTCCTCCTTTCTCCCCCTCCTCCTCCTTGTTCCCTCCTCCGTCCTCCTCCTTCCTCTCTTGCCCTCCCCTCCCCTCCCTGCGGCGCGCGGCGGGCGGCCGCCTGCGTGATGAAGATGGGGTCCAAGTAACGACGGCGACAGGCAGGCGGCCCCCCTCCCCTCCCCTCTCACATCCCCCTTGCCCTTCTCATCCTTCCCTACTCCTGTATGGTTATCGGTCAGTACCCCATCCTACTTCGCCGTTTTAGCTTTTGATTCGGAAGGCCGTTGGTTTCGGGGGGCTCTGATCCTTTTGGGGGGCTCTGATCCTTTTGGGGGGCCCTGATCCTTTTGATATGTTTACCTCCCACTCGCCGCCGGCGCTTCGAGAGCTCGAGTTCTCGCTCGAGCTCTAGAGAGGGTTCGTCTGGCTGCTTCTCGATCGCTCTTCTCATCGTGTTCTCTCATCCTCCTCCTCCTCTCCTCGCCTCCTCTCTCCTCCTCCCCTCCCCCCCCCTCCCCCGCCCTCGTCCTCATCATATTCACCGTCCCTCGGCGGACAGGCTCGAACGAGAAGCTGCTCGACAGACGAGGTCGTCGAAGCCGCGCGTCGGGGCCGACGCCGATGCCAAGGATAGAGTGCAACCATCAAGACCACCATCGAAGGGAGGCCACGTACGATGGCCTCTGGCACTGACCACTGGCTTCGGCGACGGCCTCGAAACGCGGCGCCGACGGCCTAAACCATTCACTTGCGCTTCACGGCCTCCGCGGCCCGCGCGCGCGCGGGGGCGAACGCGGACCCCCGCTTCGCGCAGCGCTGGCAGTCGCGCTTGAGCGCCCTGGTCTTGGACTCGCGCTCCTCCGCGTTGAAGGCCGCCATCCCCGAGTCGTTGAAGAGCCTGAGGAGCATCTGCTCCGTCCTCGTGATGGCCAGCTGCTCCTTGAGCGCCGACGCCGTCTTCACCACTTCGTCGTCCTGCTTCTCGCCCACCTGCTTGCGCACCTTGATGTAGTCGTCAACGGCCGCGCGCATGATGTCGGCCTGCTCCAGGAGATTCGGCATCTGGAAGAGCGAATCCCCGCGCACGTCGAGGCAGTCCACAAGGCTGGAGCTGTCAGTCAGCATGTGGTGCCAGCTCCCCCCACCAGCCTGACCCTTGGCGCGATCGGCATTGGTCGTGATCACCTCCTGGAGCGACGCCAAGGCACTGTTCACGAGGTCCGCCCTCGTGGTCTTCACGTACTCGTCCAGGTCTGCCCTCAGCGTCTTCGCACGCTCAGTCATGACCGAGCCAACCTCGTCGAACGCCTTCGAGTACTCCACGAACGATGCGAGCAAGCGGCCCACCAGCGTCTTGCGGTCATCCGGTGGCTGAGATTCTGCAGACTCTGACGCTTGCAGCTGCTCCTTCCAATGGATAATGTCAAGCTCCGATGCCAAGTACTTCGCGTAGTTCGAC